CTCACCCGTAGGCCCCGCTCACCCGCCCGCAGCGCCGGCCCGGCCCAAAGCGGAACCGAAAGCCCCGCGGGCCGGCGCTGCCCGCCCAGCCCCGGGGCGGAGCGGGAGGAGCCGCCCTCCCCCCTCAACCCGTCACCCCCAGGAACACGCACAGGCCAGAGCCGCAGTCGAGAATATATTATAAATTACACCATGCATCCATTAACAAAATATACAAAGGCAAGAGAAATACTGCTTCAGCCTGAGCATACCTCATCTACAACCTAAAGATGAAATAAAGCATGAAGGTAGGGAAAAAATAGAGGAGAGCATTTCACACATCACATTTCAATGTGCTATGAAGTGTTTTTCCTCAAATCATTGTAGTGTTTTGTTAATTTACAGAAAACATGAGAATTCCTGACAGCATGAAGACACACTCAGAAAGAACACAGGTCCTGCTGGGAAATCCTGATGAAAAGCAGCCAAGGCCCCTGAGCCCTGTGTTTTATCCGTGCCCTCTCCTCCCTGTGCTGGAGGAAGCAGGTGCCAAAAGGGGCTCAGGACAACACACAGAAAACCAGGCTCAGGGTAGAAGGATCGCGGTGGTCCTCAGCAGAGAGAGAGATACTGGAGTAAGGATGGTTGGGAAACGCTGCAAAATATGGTATTTAATTGTATTTCAAAATAAACATTTAAGAGTATTTTATTCTCCACCATCTATAAAAATAGGTTTAAAACAAAATTGTATGATACATTTCTCTTCGATCACTTTTATGGTACCTTAGATTAAGGGCATTAAGTCTTTAAGAAATTTACTACTAATGATTACTGGGTAAGTCTATTAATACTGCTTCAGCTACATTCTGTCACAACAGAAAATAACCCACCACTTTAGAAGCCACAGTAATATAAAATTTAAGATCAATGGTCTTGTATTGCAGCAAGGAAAAAAAAAGAAAAAAAAAAAAAGCCTGAAAGCAAGGATGTAGCCAACACTGCTGCTGCTTTCCGAGGACTGGCTCCCAAGCAGGTACCTATCGCCACACCACTGCACAGCAGTGGGTGATGCTGGTTTCTTGGGATTCTTCAAAATTAAATCTCTTCTTGGTAGGTTTAAAAGGGGGTTCTCAGATTTTCAAATTAAATATGGACATCTAAAGCAAAAATCTTGTGATAGACTGAATCCTACAGATGTGTCAGGGGAATATGTGGCCAGCTAGAACCATCGAGGGAAGCTACACTTAATATTCTCAAATTTATCCCCAAAATAACCCAGGAGTCACCCAATCCCTACCCTCAGGCACTCTTCACATTCCCAAACATTACTAGAATTTACACTTCAGGTCAGATCTGGCTTTTTACACATTCTTCAATTCTTCCATGTAGCATCAACAGCATAAAAGCCTTGCACTACACTGTTAGAAAAAAAAAAATGAAAGTAGTCAAAGCTGTCTTTTTTTTTTTAAACCTTTTACAAACAGTCTCTAAAGATTCTTAGAAAGGCCTTTTCTACAATTACACTTTAACAAAATATTTTATATATGCTATATTTTCTGTTAGAGATATATTACTATTAGAGATGGTTCAATAGCTGCTGGTAAAGTCTTCCTCATGCTTCATTCTACCACATGAAACAATGACAATCCTAATACTCAGACTAAGTTGAAAGTAGTTACACTTTCAGACTTCACAACTTGTTTCATGGTTTAAGATGGCTTAATCTATGAGCAACCTTTTTCTTCTAAAGGCTAACATAGGGTTTAAATGTTATATTATTATCATACATTACACAAAAGTCAGCTACTAAATCATATCAGAAGCAACTTGCTAGCTGCGGGCATCTCTTGTATATCGCGCAAATCTACATTTTACAGCAGCATTTGGGCATTGGTTCCTCTTCCAAACTTGTTAGCAATCAACAAGAGATTCCAGCTGCCTTAGAAAATATATACCTTCACACTCAATAAAAGGGTAAGTTCTCATGTGACTGGAAATTTAGATCATTCTACAGGATTCCCAGATAAAAGGAATTCAGGCTACTCATTATAAGTCTAAGCTGACAATCTGGTCTCCAATTGATAAAATCAGTGGCAAGTACTGTGCTTGACATTTCCATTAAAAAGAAAAAAAAGAGAGAAAAATCAAAAGTTCGTTAAAGAACCCAAAACTTTTAGCCACATCCCAGAACAGAAAGAAGCTGAGGAGCAGCCTGCTGCTGTTGCAGTGTTTAATGAGTCTTCTCAGTGAAGGCGATTCCTCCCTCCACCAGGAAAATTCAGCATCTCTCACTGTACCAGCTACTGTTATTGATCTGAAGCAATTCTGTTACCACTTGAACCATGTTGTTGTTGTGTTTCTTCAGCAGCTGCAGGTTTAACTGCCTGTCGCAGAACCCCATCTCACACAGACTGGACAAAAGAGTGGCAGTGTGCTCTTCTGTAACTGTAGGCTGCTTAAAACAAAAAGAAATTCGGAACGGTTTGCAAGTCTCTCCCTCAATGCATAGTATGGGTTAGGCTACCCTACCAAGATCTTGGGGTGTAACAGGATAATCTCTGCAAATGACTTGTTTTTTTCCATCTGCAACTCATTTATGCTTCTAAAGCAACATTGATTTAGCGGGGAGAAGGGCATGTGACTATTAGATACAGTTATAGGAGCTAAGCCTTGTAAACAGGCTTTGGCCTATGAACAGTCTTTTTAAAATGAGTATTTAGTTTTACCTGCAGTACTCCTCAGCCAGTCTGATAAATAACTAAATAAATAAACAAAAGCACCACCACACACCACCCAATTTTAAAATTCCAAACAGCCACAGAGAATTCAGTGGAGTGCAGTGGTCTGTAAAGACATCCAACATATTGGAGAAGGATTAAAAATAGCGTTCCAAATTAAGGTTATTAAATCTAGTCCTGCTCAAGGCTAGAGAAGCTTAGTCTCTGCTCATTCTAACTCACAGATTACATCAAGAAGTAGGACTATATAGTTCAGTATTAAAAAATTCAAAAAGTATGCACCTGTAATTTAAAGGTCAGCACTTAGACCTCAGATTTACCTGTTCTGTAATGGGTGGCCCAGCAAATAGTGCTTTGTAGGCAGAGGCAGCAACGGACAAAGCTCCTTTAACCAGGCCTCCTGCAATGCTGCTTCCTTGGGGGTGTCTGCAGAGAAGTTCAGTATTAATTTACAGTCAGTAAAGTCAGATCAGAGTTACTTCTGTTAGGAGTCTTAGCCTGTTAAATATTCCAGCCTCTTAAATATTCTGCTCAGTGTTTTGTCTGCTTTATTCCTTCAGTCTCAGTGTTATAATTTCGTAGGACATCTTACCACATCCATATTTTAGGAATCCTGAGATTCAAGGGGGAAAAAAAGGGTGTGCAGGACGACAGCACAGAATTTTGGGATTCACCTTTTGCTCACCAATTCTCATTATCTCTTGTTTGAGTAGAAAGTGAAATCTTACTAGAATAGTCTTAAATAACACTATTAAAAAAAAAAAAAAAAAAAGAGAGGGGAGGGCAGGAGGAAGGATGCACTTTCTCAAAAAAAATACCAGCTGTGAGATCTCTAAATAAGTGCCTTTTGCTGTACGCTTGTGTTAATTTCACAGTTCTTGTCTTAAAAGAGGAGCCACACAATAAACAGTAATTGTGAAAACAGCTCCAGTTTTATTACCTTGAATATTCTGAGCACTTTGGTTTACTAGTTCCATATCCAGAAGATCCTGGTCCACAACTGTCTTCACCTCTGGGTTCTAGCAGAGAATCAAATTATATGAACATGTACAGTTAATAAACCAAAGAGGCAATGTATGTGTGTGTCTATATATATATGTTTATAGACACACACACACACTCCACACACACAAAGATGGAAAGGAGTAGATTCAGTCTACAATTAATACTTTCAAACAGTTATCTAAATGCAGACTAGATGCACAAGATTCTCACTAGTCAACAGTCAAAAGAATCCAAACAAGAAACAGTTTGGCCAATTAGTCAATGGTGTTTACTTTTAACATGAGATGAACTGCTGTCTGAGCTCCCAATGACTGTAGCAGCAGTTTAAACACATGCTCACGAGATCCTTTGTTACTCTCCTCTCAAACAATTTCCCAAACATCTACAAAAGTCCCTGGGTAAAACCAGTAAAATTTCAGCATCTAGAGAAATCCTGAGCATTGTCACTGGGTTAGGTTTCTGCTTTCCCCAAGAATTGAATACCAAATTCAAAACTAGATGCAAGGAACAGGCATGAAGAACAGACAGCTGTTGAGCACCATTAATACCTTCTCTTATTTGAAGAGGAACAGAAGAGACATCCTCTGAAGCTGATATGTTTGGTTCTTGGAAGCCATAATTCTGAGGAGAAGCAAGATTCCTGAGAAAATCAAGTACCACAATTACATATGTTTAAAACAAACGTAGGGAATATACTTAGCTAAAGTCATGATCTGTAGGAAAAAAGATTCCCTCCCTCAGGTTCAGGTAATCAGCAAGTACCTTTTAAGAAGTTCCATGATTTAGTGCATTCACTCCAATATATACAATACTGTTTTTGTTGCAATAATTTCTATTTGGACACTAAGCTTAAGCACAACCTTTTTACTCAGAGATTAAAATACATACATGTGTGCGTGCTGCACAGTGTCTGTGATCTCTGGAGGTACTTCAGCCAGTGTTTGTGAAGCTGTCAAAGCATCATTGATACTGTGGATCCGTGGCTGGTTTGCACCTTTTGGATTCTCTGCTTGTGTTTCAGGCTCTCCTGTTTTTTCCAAACTGGGCTGAGAAAGAGCAGAACTATACATGGACTCTCCTAAAGGACGGCTGGTGTCAAAACACTCAGGGAGAATAATGATATAATCCTCTGATGAAACCGAAGAGCCTTGACTTTGAACATCATCTGTAGCATCATCATCATCATCATTGTCAGTCTCACTACAGGTGCTTGCTTTCTTACCAGACAACGGGAGTTCCTCTGAAAATAGAAAAAAAAAAAAGGTTAAATATTATAAAAAGAGCCCACTATTTTTGTGTAATAAAGTGTGCACTCCAGAATAAAAACAAACAAAAAGAGTAACCGTAAGCAACTGTAAGCCCTTGCTGATGGTGTTAATGGTATAATGTGAGGAGCAAGGCAGGAATGGAAAAAGAAATAGATTTTCCTAATAAATTTAGGTAGCACTCACCCTACACTGAGAAGATGAAAAGAGTAGTCTTCAGCTCCTGAATACCATACATCAAAAGCAGTTCATGGTAAGGAGTACTCTGAAGCAACATGCTCAAAATATGGAGACACCAGCGGTGCATAAGAGTATGAGCACTTATCTGAACACTTCACTAGAACCCTTGTGTCTCAATTCCACTATGTAACACAAAGCTGCTAGAATAGCTACATGTTCAGAGTACTGATACCAGCTTTCTGATGCAGTAATGACGATCGATTTTCTAGAACAGTGTCAGAGATCTTTTTGCACTTTAATTTACTGCAGTCTCTGTTATCGGTTTTATCTTGCATTCAAAGAGAGACTACATCTTGATCCAATTTACTTACCACACTCATTTTCTCTCATTGCCTCCAAATAATGGATCTTCACTTCTTTTACTTCTTTTTTGGAAGTGTAACTAGTTTTTATCCTAGGAAATTCTTCACTTATCACATTACAACTGAAGACATTGTCTAGTGTTTGCAAAGAGTCTAAAACAAACAAAACAAATACCCCACACAATTAAAATATCACTATCTGCTCTGCAAGACAATTTGCAACAAAGTGCTGCAAAAAGAGTAAAATATGGCCACAGAGGCCAACTATTAGTACCCACTCTGCACAGGTTTCCGTTGTGGGGGCTTATGGTCAGGTGCAGCATCCAGGGTTAGAGAGCGAATTACAGTTTCACAGACAAACTGAGTCCCACTCATGTCTTCTTCCCCTTCCTCCTGGTTCAATGTCTGCTCAGCTCTCATTTTCACCATGCAAGTATCAGCAGTAAAGCAGGATTCAGTCAGTCCTGTGAAAGAGAAAGTGACAGATGAATGGCACTGCAAGGCAGTGTAAATAATAAGACTTTTTCCTCAACCTGCCTTTCCTGCAAAAAGGTTAACTCCAATCTGTCTTACTTTCTTCTCACAATTCAAACCTTTCAAGCTAAATGTTAAAAAGTACTGAGACACAGGGAAGTCAGAGCTGAGTGTTTGAATATAACCCAGTGTACAAAGCACAAAGAACAAATTTTCAATCAATTATTTCAACATTTCTAGCAAAGAAACTTTTTTTTTTCTTCCTCTGAATTCAATTGTATTGGGCTTCAAATTCTACAGACAAAGAAGTGGTAGAGACTGCATAATGAGCCGAGTAAGATCTATGTGTTTTTCCAGGGAGGGTGGAGGGGAAGAGAAATCAAGATTAAAGAAACTGCCCCACAGGAATTAGAATTATTTCTGTAAGTAAATCAAACCAAAACAGAGTCATGACACCCTCCTCCTCCCCACTCCCCACTGATTACTGCTTACCAGGCAGTGGTTTAAGTCCACTCCCCTCATTCTCCTCCTCTATCTGACCTAAGCCAGGTTTCTCCAGCAAAGGGTTATCATGTGGCAAAGGAGACATGCATGGAGTCATGTCTGAAAAATAAAGGCAGCAAAAATATTTGGCACTAAAGGAGTAGGAACCTTCCTTCTCTCTTCCAGGAGGCAACCTTTTAGGAAGCTTTTGATTTTTAGGAATATTTGCTCCAATACAGAAGAAATACAGTCACTTTACAAGATACTTTTGGTGAAATTGATGACTTGCTTTATATTACATTAGCTGAGTGAAGAAAACAGCAGCCTTACTCATTAACTGGGATCTTACGATCTTGATGAGAATGTGGAAAAAAATATGAGGACCCACGAAGTATCTCCTTGAGGGGCTGCAGCAAGGATTAAAATGGAAAGACAAATGGGGAATTGGGAGGGCACTTGTTCTAGCCTGAAGCACAAATAAGTCTTTTGTACAAATAAGCTCATCTGTTCACAGAACGAACAGTAACAAAAAAGTAAAGACAGGACCCCAGAGTATCAGAAGGTCCTTACCAACTGGAGTATTGTGTGGCACTCGCTCCAACTCCTGGACAATATTAATATCCAGTAGCTCAAATGACAGCAAATCCTATAGAAAGAAATCCCACACAGTTCTTAATTAGTATATCCTGAACTGGAATCCCATCTGGTTCTTCCCTGCATTAGATCCTATTACCTTACTCTATTTTGTTAGGTACTTGGCATGATTTCAGCCAGAGGGCAGTTTGCTACAGACCCATTTACATCATAGAAAACAGTATACAGGCTGAGCCATGAAGAGTGAAAACCACAGTATTCCCTTGGTAAGGGTTACAGAAAGACCCAAGGCAGCAATTCATCAGGGAAGGTTGTGCAGGACAGAAGATTCTGAGTACAGCGCCAGTCATTTGCCAGCACTGATTCAGGGACACTTCTACTACGTAAAATGCAATGTACTATCCCAGAAGCAAAGAGTAGCTATTCTAAAGCTCAATCTATGCTTATGAATGATTAGGTACCTAGATATGAAACCAAGATGCAATGAGCATTTGTTTAATCTCTACCTGAATTCTAATACTTTACCTGTGCAGTGAGGAGATCAACTGATGGAATATAAAATTCTCTCTCATTTGACAAATTTCTCATCTTTAAAGGAATATTTGGTAGAGGTATTTCAGCCTGCTCCACGAGATCACCCACCAGCTGAGCACCTGCTTCTCTCCTCAGGGATGCATTCTGCAAAAGCAAAGAGTATCCTAGAGCATGTTGGGCAGATGGCAAATAAAAGTTACATGAAGTGTGAGCATTGTACATAACATAAGTAACTTGAAAAGACTTAATGCATTTTAGAGCCATAAGGACAAGACTCAACACAGTGAAGATCATCACTGCAACATTGCAGATGGATCAAACAACTAGATAAGTGGCTGAATAGGACTCTGATAACCAATCCTATGCCTGTCAAAGGAAGAACTGCTATCTCAGAACTTACTACTGAAGGCAGTGTTTTTCTTTTCTACAGAGAACAGAAACAAATCATTAAAGGAATTCCAAAAGATCAATAAGGAACAGCCACTGCACTGAACAACATAAACTGCTCCTTCTACTAGACAATACAGTGCAGGTTGAGATACTTGCCTGCTCGCCACTGGAAGCTTTATCCTTTTGATGGGAATCAGAATCCTTGCAGTTGTTCTCTAGAGGGTCAGTAGCTGGGGAGGGATCCACAACAATACTGCACCAGATCCTCGGCCCAAACTGTTCCCCTCTGTGTGACAGTCTCCAGTGAGATGTGTAGATTCCTTCTATATTAGGAGCCACAAACTCGACTGAAACAGTTCCTACTTGTCCTGATGGCAGGGATGGTACCAACACATCTTTTTTTTCAGAAGATGCCAAAGTCAAATTTCCCCACATAAGTTTCAGCTGGAATACAGAGAAAAAGAAAAGGAAGCTTTCCAACAGCTTCTCTTCTGCGTGCTCAGTACTGTATGAGGCCTCTCAGCAGAAAAACTGAAATGCTCCTTAATCCCTGAAGTTCACATAGAAACTTTCAGTTTCCCACATTAGTTATAGACCCTGTAGAGTGAGAAGATACCCATCTACCAATAGGAACTTGATCCACACTCCAGGAAGAAAGGCTTCTTGGAAGTCAGGAATGCAAGCCACCCATTATAACAAGGTTAAACAATAACATTAAAACAGCACTAAAAGACCTTTTCAGATACTCTTGATTGCTTCCCTCCTATGCATTCCTAAGACAATATATTCACAGAATCACAGAATGGTTGAGGTTGGCAGGGACCTCTAGAAATCATCTAGTCCAATCCCCCTGCTGCAACGGGGACAGCCGGAGCATGTGGCACAGGGCAGCATCCAGGTGGGATAGGAAGATCTCTGGAGAAGGAGACTCCACAGCCTCTCTGGGCAGCCTGTGCCTGGGCTCTGGCACCCTCACAGTGTAAAGAAGCTCTCTCACACAGAAGCTTCCTGTGTTTAAAATTGTACCCATTACCCCTTGGTCCTATCATTGGCCACCACTGAGAAGAGTTTGGCCCCATCCTCTTTACATCCTCTTCTCGGGTATTTATACACATAGATAAGATCCCCCCTCAGTCTTTTCTTCTACAGGCTACACAGGCCCAGCTCGCTTACTCTTTCCTCATCAGATAGATGCTCCATATAGCTCTATGCTAAACCCTTCTCTAGAGATTTCACACCCTTCTTATACTGGGGAGCCCAGAACACCACACAACATTACCCTAGAATTAACAAGCCAAGTGAAATCACGATCTTAAACTCTCAAAACATACCAACTTCATCTTCCCAAATCTATTTAATGTTTAAAAGCAATAGCAAAGGAAAGATACCTTTGTATCTGAGCTCCATTCTACATTACCAGTATTTTTCATTCGCCAGTGTTTGATAAACTTTGTCCCTGGCTGCAAGTGAGTCCCATCTGGCAAATTCTCATCCACAAATACTGCACTCAATGTTGGTACAACTGCTTGGAAGGGTTGGCTAGAACTGGGATGGGAGAATGGGAAATGAAGAAAAAACAAACAAGAGCTTAGCATCTTTTGCAGGTATTTCACCAGCTAAAATGGAAGAAATTTAGTTTGTCTTCTTCAGTCTGTAGTACAGCTTCAAAATGAACTTTTTTTGCTACTCCTTCCATCATAACTGTAAATATTGCATCCTACTTTGTAATATGTGTTCTTCCAGATGAGCAAATGTTGTTTTGATGTATTTAAGCAATTAAAGCACTCAAGATCCAGAGAGAAGAGTTCACACTGCAGTTGATTTTATTTTTACAGCACTTTGGCCTATATTCAGCAATGAAGAACTTCATTTTTTTTCCAATCTGAACAGTGTTTGCTTTTATAGAGAAACTAGTGGGATTGACTAGTCTAACAGGGGATTTTTTCATTTAAACTACAAAAGCTGGCAGGTGCCTGAGGAGCCACAGTCAAAACTAGACATTAAATTGTCATTCCTTACTAAGAGTTTTTTTTTTATCCATTTTTGGAGGTTCAAAACTCAATGCAGCTCAGGAAATACGAGCAAATTTAGCAGTGCCCAAGTTCATATTGACTTTGTTCCTGTAATAGTTCTGTTCAGTTGACAGAAAGCAAAAACAGCAGTTTTAACTTCTCCATATGTATGAATAAATCTAATGTTACTTTGAATCTCAAAGGTCCTAATTGGAAGAGATGAATTAAAGAAGTTGTACAAGTTTGACCTGTACATTCGTAAAACTAAATAGACGAAAAAATGTAGTCTGACTTGAACAAAAGGCTGTTTTCTAATAAATCACAACCTCAGTTCATCAGAAAACACCCAGACAAGCACACAGGTATACCTGACTTGGAAAGGAAATAATTAGGAAGACAGGCTCTTTAAAATCAGCAGTAACTTTCATTTATACTGTGTGTGACAGCATATGTGCATATATAAACTTGGGCAGAACCCCTTCCTCCTGTGTCTGCAGAAACCTGTTTAAGTTTCCGGTAATAAACATCAGCTGCTTCCTTTGTTCATCCCATACACTTCCCAGGAAAAACCTTCCACCCGTCAAAACTCACTTAAAGAAATTTTTCATTGAGTGCAATCACAACCGATACTTTAAATGAGTGACTGATCTCATGTTCTTCCCTCTGTTTAACTTTAACTAGGTTGCATCATTTCTCAATGTAGCTTAAAACAAACAAACAAACAAACAAACCCGCTCCGATAGCATCCCTTACATGAAGGGCTGGAGACTCTCACTCTTCAAAATAGGTGAACCACTGGTTTCCAAGACATTGACAGAGTTCCACAGATGAATTTTCCTGTGCAATTTGAGCTGCTTTTTGAGCTCTCGAACCTCTGCCTTTCGTTGTTTCTTCTCTGCTCGTAATCTTTGCTTTTCTGCCTTCAGAAATCTTTTGTCCATCTGCTTCTGAAGCCTGTAGAGAAAGTAAGCCACCTAGTTACAGAATACCAAGTTGATTAGAATTTAACCACAGCCAACACATTCTTCATCTCAAGCAGAAGATGTCAGGGAGTGTCTCATGCTTCTAGACTGGATATTTATGATTTAAAAGAATAACTTCAAAATAGTGAAGATACTTAGATATGACCTCAGTGAAAGCAAACTTGAGGACAAATTAGTATACACTGCTCAAAGAAACAGAAGCAAAAAAGTCTGCAGCCTCTCCTATTCCACATAAAGCTCTACTACACAAAATAACTATCTATTTTCTTGAACTTCTGCAATCTATAAGGTACCATCACTATTTTCAGCCACTCACACTACATTTTCAGAGCACCATTACCATTTCTTGCAGTTCTCTCTAGATCTAGATCCATTAGAAAACACCAACAATACCACACACCATCCACACAGATCACCACCCCGACTACAGGTGTTTCCCCTTTGCTCTCAAGATAACCTTGACATTAACTCGTGCCACCATTTACCTAACTTGCTCAAGAGTAGCAGGGAGGCGAGGTGAAACCTGTGCAAGGCTGCAGTTCTCAGCAATACACAGTACAGGTCTTCGAAGTTTTAACAAAACATGATTGGGATCGTGAGCATATGTTCCGGCTTCACACTGTTCGCAGATGCTGTAAGCTGGACAAAGGCTGCAAAGCAGGGAAGGGAAAAGATTACTAAGAGATAGACAAAATTAGTGCACTAAAGAGACATAAGGATAATTATCCCAAGAAAAACTCCGTATCAAACCATCACTAATTAGTGACCAAGTGAAATAGAAGATGGGTCTCAGATGGACCATCAGTATCTGGAACCTCTCTTGTCAAAGCTGCAAAACAGTACCCATCTTCTTGAAGACACACTTTATGTGAGTGATAATGTTGTTGCTATAAAGGTTACAAGGCATACTGAAATCCAGTGCCAAAAACAACATTATATGGAAAAAAAAGTGTCAACTGAAGCTTTCACCTGTCTTTCAGAGATATAAGCAGGTAGTACTGCAGGAACCGGTAAGAACAGCTTGTGTTCTGTTGCTAATAAAAATATCCAAAGGAAAATCCCTACTGGCGTCCTGGTCACTGCTGCTGCCTAGTCTCGAAGGAGTTATCCTTATAGCAATCGCCTCATCCAAACAAAGCCTCACTTCAGATGCCTCACTTAAGAACTATGTTTTAATAAATAATTAGTAATTAACAACAGGCAACGTACTGAGGTATGCTGTTTTAATCTCAATGATAGGTAGAGCCAAGTAATTTTTTTAAATGTTTGCTGTAAGAAGTTGTCCCCCACATACACTGTTTTTCCCCCTGAAGTTTACTGAACCAACTGAAACATTTTCCTTTGCAATTAGAACATTAGCATAAATGCAAAAAAGTAAGATTTTTTTCAGGACATAAAAGTGTTAAAACAAAAGAGTTCTACATTATTGTAACATTCACATTTAATAAAAGCAGTATCAATCTTTCCCTTATCTATGTAAGAGCTGATCACAACAATTGAAAATATAATCTATTTATGAAACAGGGGTTCCGAAATGTGTATCATAGTGTACAGATGAGCCATACGGAAATTTATGACACCAAGAGAGTTTCCCAAGTTCTCACTCGCACGCCTTAGGTATTAGATTTCCCACAGAGCCGTCTCCTACAGGATTTTACCTGCACTGATAGCGGACTCCCACGATTCGCGCCTGGCAGTTGCAGCAGGAGATCAGCCAGTCACACTGGCCGTCATTCCCTGGCTGGGGCTCTGATGCAGGAGATGCTGCTGTAGCGGCGCTCTCAGAATCATCCGGAGGTTGACTGTGACAAAGAAGCTTCTCATATAGCTTCTGCTCAAGTTTCTCAACAGTTTCCTTAACTACCTGTTCCCTGAACTTTAAAAAAAAAAAAAAAAGTCATGAATGGGACTTTCCCACAGAGCTTCAGAAATCAGACTGCATGGCCCCCAATCTGCTGCTTCATAATTCTTAGAGCTGTTCAGAACCCCATCCCCTGCAACACACTTCAGATCAAACTGAACAAGAAAACTCTGGGGAAAGAAAAAAGTTAAATGCACCATCATACCTGTAAGTTTCAATGAGTCACTAGCTGATTAATTCTTATCATCCTTAGAAAGTTGCTTCTTGGCCTGTGATATGTATTAGCTGCCCAAAACAAATTAACACCCATGTCTTATCACCCTATAAGTCTTGCTCATTGGCCTCCTGAAAAGTATTTTCCTAAAGCTAACCATCAGGAAAAGTCAGGTCATTAAATGCTGTGTTTTAAATCTCAGGAAGCCTTAAGTATGAGCATTACCCTGCTGGAGCTGGTCAAACAAGACCCTCCAAAAGCAACACCTTATTTCATGCTCTGTCTCATGATGACTATCCATAAAGTTTCTATAGTTGTCTGGAATACAACATGAATTCTAGTACAGGAATTTTAAAACATCAAATGGAAGAACGTCTAAAACTACTTCAGCCTTTTCTAAAGATAAACTACTGAAGACTACATTCAAAACCATTAAGTGCATAAATAACAATCCAGATTTGACAAGGAATTTCATGTATCAATTTTTATTTTTACAGTAGCATCTATACTTTAAGACAGCATCTAGTGCATGTCTGACTTCCATTTACCTCCACAAAAGCCACAGGATTAGATGCCTAAATGCACTTTAAGAACTTTCCCACAATGTGATCAGCTGTATGAAGTCAAGCATCATGAATATCTCTTCTACCTGTTATCTCTTATGCAACCCTTTAAGAACACTAAAATCCAGAAGAAAATACACTTACAGTTTCCAAGTAGCTAGTAAACCATTCTGGAGGATTTTCATTTTTTCTTCCTTTTCTATTGCGATTCAACTTTTGCTGGGAGGGAGGAGAAAATAGTCACAAATGGTCAGCATGTAAAGCTGCAAAGAAATCAATGCAGCAAGTAACCCCTTTCAAATAGCTCTTCCCTCAAGTAGCCTTCCCCTAACATCACTTTCAGTTTTCAGGAGAACAGTGGAAAAACCACACAATCCAACCACTAGGGTTGTCCTGAAAGATTTCTGCCTTACTAGCATTTGAGGGGAACTACATATCAAAGCCAAAAAAAATAAAGTAATCAAGAAATTACCAGTTGGCAATCAGGGTTTCAGGAGTCTGTTTTGTTTTGCGAAATACCAAAGAACAGCCAGTATTAAAGAATCCGCATTTCTAAATGCTGCATTAAAGCATCTTATTTCAGACATTCCATTTTGCTACCTTCAATCAGTAGAGATAGCTACGAATCAATACCATGTTCTGAACAAAGTTTTCATGTATGGGTAAAGATGATAACCAGTCTATGAAGTTATAATAATTCATAATTTTTTAAAAAATGAGTACGTAGTTCAGCTCTGCATCCTACCTGATTTGTCACCTTCTTTTCATTTTTTGTCTCCTCCTCTAAGCCTGGAGCTATCATGGAATTGTGCGGGAGAGATTTCCTCCTGTCTTTAAGAAATGCTTCTGATACAGCATTTCCATGCGGTTGCAAAGGACAAGAATATGAGGTTCCTTCGGGAGAAAGGTTTCCTTCGTACACATTCATCTGGAGTTGATTTCCTTGTTTAACTGCAATCTAAACGAACAGTGCATGATAACGCTCTACTTTCTCCAATTGCATGTAAAATACAAAATTATTTTAGAATGCAACACTACTGAAGAAACTGGGAAGAAAAAAAATGAGTAACGTGTCAAATTAGAGTCCACTGACACTTTATTCTACCTTTTTTAACTATACATTTGCTTACTAGAAAGTTTATGGTAAGTGAAAAGTTAATTAGGGAGATATTCTGCAGGACTTAAGTCCATAATGAAGCTGTTTATATAAGCCAGTAAACAGAACTTTTGTCCAGAAATCCGTAAGTAAAAGTTTACTGTAAAATTTTTCAAATGATTTTCTGATTAGAAATTCAGAGCATGATCAAAAACTCTGAAAATATTAACACTGATAATTAACGTTCAAGAGAAATGCATTTCTTATTTGGCCTACATTTAACTATTTAAATAACTAAGCATTCCATCAATGGCATTTTTATTGCCTGAAAGTACAAAGCTAGTTTTTCTCTGCCAATATTTTTAAAGGGAACCTGTAAGAGTCCAATTATCTTCAAACATGGAGGCTTTACTATTTAAGCATTTGAGAAAATCAGTCACTTTTCCAATGAATTGTGTGTTTATTGACCTTAAATCATAACCATCTATCGAACTGATTCATACAAACCAAATTAGTCTGGATGGGGGAAAAATATATTTAAAAGGTCAAAGAGGCCAGTTACCTTCAGAGCTTCTTCATATTCCTCTAAAGAAAAACAAAGAAAAGTGATTTTTTCCATCTTACATAATACATGTAATTTCAGCACATGATATTTGGGAAACCTTAAACTGAGGAATATCTTTCATTCTTTCTTTCATCCTTAGCTTTAGCGTTGAACAGTTTACAAAGGTAAGATATAGGGCAATAGGCAAGCATGCATTAACAGTCTACAGATTTAGCATTCTATTCAGCTATTCTTCATTAAAAAAAAATAAAAAGCACTTCCTATGGATCAAAATCCCTTTCCTCTGAAAGGCTTTGACTCCCAGTCCTACACAAAACCCAGTTAGCCAACAAGCATCTTGTCTGCTTCTTCAAAAGCCTAAATACTTAAGGTCTATTTATGAATCCGATTTTGGTTTAGGAAAGTATTAGCTCACCTTTGCTATTCACAGAGACCTGCAAAGAGAAAAAGCAGTAAGAGCCACTGATACAACTTCTGCAATTCCTTTTAAAGATTAATGTGCTTTCAAGATAAATCTACCTTTAGTCAGTTTTTAAAACACCACTCCTATCTTGTCATATTTAACACTAATATGTGTTAAGTAGTTATTGATATTTCCCCTTAGAGAAAAAAGAAAAAATTGCTATTGCCACAATTTAGAGCTATGAATCAAACAGCAGAAGGCAGTTTTTTTTGTTTTTTTTTTTTTTAAAAACAGACATAATGTTTCATTTCAGAGCTATGTTCTGAACTAAATCTCTAAATAAACAGACTATCAGCTGGCAAGGTCATGCCAAGCAGGAAGTTACTCAACGAGGACAACTAGAAGTAACCAATTTCCTTTCTGAGTCAGTAATCTGCTTGGAGATTACAGCATTGAAAGAAAACAAGCAGAGGATTTGATTACACCAGATCTCCGATGTAAACATATGCAAGTGATACATTTTTCAGGGGAAAGATTATAGATTGAAACAACAACGCTTTGCTATGGCTGTGAACAGCAGCAGCTACAACCACCTCATTCTGGCAGCACGCACAAACAAAACAAACACACCTAACAGAAGCACCCCTTCCTCAGGGCACATGAAACCACTGGTGCTTTCTACTGGGCTGCAGTGGTAGGAAAGAGGAGCAATAAAACATTCTTTGCAAGTTAAAGAAAGAATTCTCTTGTCCATTCTCTTCTCAAACGGACAAGAAAGAATCATCTCTAATCCGCAAAACCTAAACTCCTGAAAGATCCAGTACAAACTATAAAGCAGCAAAAAGGCTCACACAACCAGCCATGTTTTGGTACGCACAGGAAAACATTACATACCTCATCATTATCCTCATCAACATATTTGATCTGAATGTTGTTCAAGTCAAATGAAACCTTCACCTGCAAGTAAAAAGAACATGCAATCAGAAAGAACTACGGCAGTTCTCAGTTACAAATGATTAACAGGGAAGATGGCTTAACCCTCCCATCACTTCAGTTTCAGTTGAAATAAATGTTTTTACTAGAAGTATTTTTCTGAAGACCAACAACACTGTCCCCTACACTTGGCTTCCAACCTTTACTTTCTGTAACAGAAGAAATAAGCTTTTCTTTCCTCTCCACTCCCCTCCCCGACGCCTTCTCTAGTTAATATTTACCCCCCCAAAATCAGGAGCACCCAATAACCTTTCCATTTTAGGAAAGCTTGCTCACGGTTATTGAACTCAGTCATGATAAACATTCCAATCCACAGCAGCTAGAGCCAATAATCCTTGAACACTAACTTTTACACAAAAGACTACCTCAAAGATGATGAACTGCCTTATTTCACAAACCTATTTGTGTTTTGAAAAACTAGGATCAAATCAAACACCAAAAAGTGCAGAGTTGTTCATTCTATTACTTGCTGGGTGATGTGCTCTCTCTCTCTCTCTATATATATATATGTATGAACATAAAACACATTACGCATTTATGAATGAGAACAAGCTATTTCTGTATTTTGCATTAGTAGGAAGGTTCAACAATATCAGGCGAGCTGTATGAAAAGGCAATTATTTCTCTATGTTGAATAAGCCTTTGAGACTCATAAGTGCCTTTACATGATTTATATATACAAATCGTATTTTTCCCCTCAAAAGAAAAACTGTCTGAAAGAATGCTACATATGAGATACGTTCTGCTAGCCCGGATCTAAAAGGAGGCCACTAACAGCCTTACAGGATTAACAAATGGTGGGACTTACACAGAAGCATGTGAGTACAACAGAGTAACTACCATCATCACGGAATTTGTGCTACAGTCAAACTCTTCCAAAATTATACCTACTACATTAGAATCAAATTAGAGATTAGAACCAAAAAAAAAAGTAATCTTCCAGCTTTCTCTACACTGAGTTTTCAAGATCAGCTTGGGGCACAAGCCATTCTAGAACGAGACGCCTACTAATGCTGTACATGTTTAACAGTACAGTTAGAAAGAGGAAAAAACAGATTCTCCCCTCCTACTTCAAGGCAATGCATTTGCACAGCAGTGTAGACAGACTCAGTGGTACTTCCTTGGGCAGAGGAGGCCACAGCAGGAAACCACTCTTGGAACAAGCACACACTGACTCTGGCACTACAGAAGATTAAGGGTCACACCATGTTCACACAGCAACTTCTTCAGCTTTGATGCCATTACAATGCCAACTAGTTCAGGCATTCCTAAAAAACAAGGACATTCCAGGAGAACTAGAACCAGTTCTGCATGATTGAAATACAACAAAAAACAAATGTGCGATACAGTTCAGACTCTGAAAACAATTAATACCCAACGCAGGAACTTCTGATGACATACGGTGAACACATTTGCTACAAGCAACAAAAAAAAGTACTAAAGCCTCTGAAGATGCAATTTTGAGAATAAAGTAAAAAAAAAAAATAAAAAAAGGTACTACAGATACAAAATTGGTTTTTTTAAAATCACTGTAACTTTCATATAACCATTGATTACAACATCAATATCACCCCACCCCGATGAGCTACCACCAAACAGCAATAGCATTAGCATTACCATTCACACAGAAATTCTTTGGAATAGCTATCTAGCACACAATAAGCAGAGCTAATGTCTCAGGGTGCGTGACCTACTAAGAGAATAAACAACCATATCAACACACTGCATGTAGGAAACCAGGAAGCAAGGAAGAAAAATAACATTTATTAGCAACTCGGTGTCCAGGAAAGCAAAAGCAAGTCTTTATAAGGGTACTTGATAAGAAAAGGAAAATGTTTTTCACCATACCTGCCTTAATGCAGAGGGGAAAAAAAATAGAAAGACCCGTAGAGGCAAGAGCAGAGAGGTTATTTAGAGTGAAAGAGCCCCCGAACTAGGTATCTGCGAGGGCACCAGAGAGACAAGCGGCTCCCCCGCCAGAGGGGCCGCTCCGCAGCGAGCGGCGCCCCACGGCCCCCCGAGCGCGGGGCAGGGCCCGGGCCGGGCTCGCCGCCCCCCCTGGCCTCCACATCGGG